GGGGAAGAGGCATGCAAATACACCCTGAAGCTCCTTTTCTGCTCTCTCACACACCCTCCAGCCAGAAAAGGAGCCTGTTCATTTCACAGCAGCAAGGCGTAATCACTCTTGCACCATCACCCACGTGGCTGCCTTGCTGAATCATGGCTTGCACAGGGAATTGCAAGGACCAGGGGAATTTTCATTTTTCCCAGCGCCTGCCAGGAGTCTGTGTACTGGCAAAGGGGATGTCAGGTTCATGTTTCTCTGACAGAATCAGGCAACACAATTAACTGGGGGAGGTGGTGGGGTGGTTTAGCTTGGTTGAAAGGCATTTACTAAAATGGTTAACCTAAGTTTGAGCAACCTTTTAAAAGTATGCTAAATCTGGAAGAAAGATGACAGAAGGCGCAAAGGTAATAGATGGAAGTAATAGGGCAAAGGGATTCACTTTCATCTTTGCCAGTGAAAATACCAGCAGCACTAAGAATATATTCAAGCAACTCCCCCACAATCACTAGTTGCACTACATTTAATTCCAAGAACTAGAAAGCAATGGAATGAACCACAGAGACAAGCTGTGAAGCTGCAAACACTACTTAACTACAGACTTCAGATTCATTCCCACCACAGCACAGTGCTGCAACCCATTATGCTTGCCAAAAAGACACTAAAAGAGCTAAAAGCTTTTCTCCCAACAGTTCTGCTACTTGCTGCACAAAACACACTCACAGGTACCAGTGCTGGTGACCACAAGGCTCCAATTCTCAGTCCTCATCTCCAGTATACGACACTACTCCCAACAGCTGTCCCCTCCTTTTGACAAAGGTTTCTTGCCCCGCACTGGGGCAGCAAAAATGGCTGTACTCTCTTCATCCTTGGCAGCCTTAGACACCACCATACAATGAACAAATGTGCTCCCTCCTCTGCTGCAGAGGCAGCGGCAAGCAGCCAGCCAGGGTCTGTGCCATCCTAAGTCACTCACCACCAACAGTAGGACACCTGAAACCAGGTTCCTCAGAAGTGCAACTCTTCTCTTTCCACCTTTGCCTGGTGAGGCTGAGGCAAGACAAGCACAGGGAAGCTCCTTGTGTAGCTTAACCCACCCTCTTCTTCCCAGACCTGCAGTGGCCGATTTGCATGTGTGTTCAGAGTTTCATTTTTACAACAACGTCCCAAGAGTCAGTTCTGCTGCTCACTAGCTTTTTTCCTTTTGGGGAAGAAAAGGGCCCAATAACCTACAGCATACCCAGGTCACACAAGAGAGACAGCAGTTCCTGTTGCTGCCACTGGTGGGAAAACACCCAGAAACATAACCCTGACAGTGAGTAAAAGCTGGAAAATAAACTGAGAATTGAACAGCATCTTCAGAAAACTAATGAACACACACTGCTGCAGCACATGAATCTGAATGCTCTCACTTCGACTTGTTTTATTGTTGCGTTTGGATTCCCGCCCCAACTCCCCCTTGTGTGA